ATATATATATATATAATATAAAAAAATGAAAACAAGTGCCGGAAAAAAGTCACATATAAATAAAACAAAAACACGTCCATGAGTTAACTTATTTAATATATTGCCAAACCGGTTTCTCTTATGATCATCAGGGCCCTGATGATCATAAGAGAAACCGGTTGGCAAATAATTAAATAAGTTAACTCATGGACTGTGTTTTTTGTTTTATATATATATATATATAATATATAATATATATATATATATATATATATATATTCTTGCTTGAAGATCCTGTATATTATAATTAAGGATGTATGGAGGGCGTTCGTTGCCAAAATTCCAGACATGTAAAGTGTTCCTTTTTAAAATGACTTTTGAAAATGCGAACTTGTATGCCTACCATTTTTATTGTACCCGTGCATAGCACATCATATGCCTCTTAATTCAATCTTTTAATTGAAGGTTACAGTTTTTATATAACAAGTTTACATATATATCGTAACAACTGACCTAACATCTAAAACGACAACAAATTTACAAGTTCGTATCTTCCATTGCATGCAATACATATGCATGTTTGCACACTTATAGATCTGAAATATACAAATGAAATGTAAAACTCGAATACGGAAAATAAAGTTTAAGAAAACATGTTACCAGTTGTAGAACTACAAGAGTACGTTAACACAGTAACATGTTTAAAATGACAAAAGTAGATTCACAAAGTTAAACGATTTTAAGTCAAGCATAACGCCCCGCCCCTCTCCGAGTATTTACGAACTTCTATTGCGGACAGGTATAAAACGGCGCCTCTCCCATATTTCTAAATAAAACTGAAGGACAACATACGGCATTTTTCATAACATATATATGTTACATTTGTTACAAAAGTTTTGTTACTAGCAACATCACTTGAAAATTGCTGATTTTACCATTTATGATGAAGATAACCTATGCATTACCTTATTCTTTAACATCGTGTTCTTATCAGTTACAAATTATTTATCATTTTAGTGATTAGCCGTGCCCTGTCCTGTGTTTTGTTTGGGGTCCGCCTGGGCTTCTTGCCACTTGTTCTTGTTGCTGGGTCATGTGGGATTGCGTTCATTGAGCGCCGCATTTCCTTGTTGATCTTGTTTATCATGATATATTCCTGAGAAACATCGGCGATATGGAAATTTTTAGGGGAAACAATGACCAACTTCAAGGGAGTAATTTTATTAATAATGTAAAAACCATCCAATATTCTTATTGGTATCATTGAAAAATGTATTGGCACAAATTTCATTTTCAACAAAAACTATGCAAGTATTTGCAAAAATAGGATTTTAAAGCGACCACCGAGGTTTCCTTTCCGAAATCAAGAAAAAACTTATCCGTAGCACATATGTACAATCTTTAATAACGTATTTTCAGTATGAATAAAAACTTTTTGCACTTGTTCATTATCCCTCAATCAAACCGAGTCTGCAATTCTTATGTATTATGTAATTTTGTTGTGATTAATGCTTCCGAGGGATCACTATGTTTCCAGATTTTTATACTTCACAACAGTGTCAAGTGCCGTGTGGCAGCTGTAAAAAGTTGCCCGTACTTCACTTCAGTGATTTATATATTTTTCTGGTTCTTCGGAGCGCTATTAAGTGTTGAGAGTGAGTACTGTTCAAGCCGGTGCAAGGGGGCGTGAGGGATGTTGCACTTGTTCATTATCCCTCATGTACAGACTCAATCAAACCGAGTCTGCAATTCTTATGTAATTTGTTGTGATTATAATGCTTCCGAGGGATAACTTTGTTTCCAGATTTTTAATATACTTGTTCAAAGCTTATGGTCTAAAATTGCATTCAATATTCAATTTCATTTTTGAATCAAGTATCTTAAGGAAGCGAAGTGATTTTTTTCCGAATATATGAGTGTGGATTTAAGAGAGAAAAAAACAATGATAAGTTAGAAACGAAATTTTTAATACTTCTACCTAATTAATTTTCATTTTAAGGCATTACTAGAAAGTTCATAAAGGATTCTTTAACATGAGTCTAAAATTATCAACGCCGCCTTTCTTTGATGATCTTGTTTATCATATTCTAAAATAATTAAAATTTACCATGAAATAAAAAAAGTAAGTAGGGGGGCGCCATGTTTCTCTTACTGAATTTCAGAGTGTGTTTTTTGGGGGTTTTTTTCCTTGGAGATCATATGCCGTTTTCATGGTATGGCACTTACGTGTTACATTGAAGGTTCCATGATAATCGCCATGTTAACACATCTGCGGATGTTTCAAAATTCAAAATTGTACCAGTTCATGTTGAATTTTGCTTAAGCCGGTGCTAGGGGGCGTGGACGATAACTTGCTCTTTCCATTACCGTCCATGAGCAGGCTCAATCAAACCGAGCCTGCAACTTTCTCAATTCTGTTGTTTTGAGTGTTCTTTAGGGATTCTTATTTTCTCTATTTTACAGAAAGTAACATGATAAACTTTTTAACGAAAAGTTAATTCATTTTGAAATTACCTCATTCTTGTTCATGTTATACTTATGGCTTAATAAAGCCCAAATATCAATCTCATAACATGGTTGTTTCTTATTTCTCCATACAAGCTTCAATTGAGTTTTTGGTGGTTGTTGCAGTTAATATAAATATAATTTTATATCATAAATCGTACGAAGCACACTTTTATTTCAATCCAAAATTATCAAAATTGATAACGAAATAAAAAAAAGTTTGGAGGGAACGCCGTGTTTTTCTTATCAATTTGAGAGTGTTATTTTCAGAGTAAAAAAAAAAAATTCAATACATCTATTTAATTCATTTTTATTGCCGAGGCACTCATAGAAAGCTTATGGAGTAATCTTTCATTTGATACCAATAATATTGGACTTTTTATAGAAATAAAAAAAGTTAGAATGGACACCGTGTTTTACTTCACTTTATTGAAAAATAGGAGAGAGGCGACGGGTATTATACCTGTCCGTACATTTCCGTAATAGAAGATCGTAAATACTCAGAGAGGGGCGGGGCGTCATGCATGACTTAAAATCGTTTAACTTTGTGAATCTACTTTTGTCATTTTGAACATGTAACTGTGTAAACGTACTGTTGTAGTTCTACGACTGGAAACACGTTTTATTAAATTATATTTTCTGCATTCGAGTTTTACATTTCATTTGTGTTTTTCAGGTACAGATAAATATCTACAAGTGTGTAAACATGCTTATGTATTATATGCAATGGTAGATACGAACTTGTAAATATGTTGTTGTTCTCCATGTTAGGTCAGTTGTTAAGATTTACATGTAAACTTGTTATTTATAAGCGGGTGCCTTCAATTAAAAGATTGGATTAAGAGGCATACCATTTGCTGTGCACGAATGCAATCAAAAATGCTAGACATACATGTTCGCATTTTCAAAAGTAGTTTCCAAAGGGTACACATTACATGTCTGGAATTTTGGCAACGATCGCCCTCCATAAGGATGTAACATCCTTGCAAAAGTTGTATATAAAGTCAGTTCTTATGAAAAATATATACTTAAGAAGTTGACATTTTTAAACACATTATATGATATTTCTTGAGGAAAAAAGGTTGTGAAATTTTTATTTGAATGCAAAACTGATTTTTTTACCAAAACAGATTTCTAATTATCTCCTTCTATTATCGGAAATTTTAAATTTTGGCAATATCCTTATCAAAAAGGTTTTTCTGTAACTTTTAACATTGTTAATTCTTTATTTAAACCAAAGATTTTTCATATAAGAACATAAAATTTTGAGTTACAGGATCTTTAAGTGTATGTTACATCTTTAATTATAACATACAGGAAATTTAAGTCCCATCAACCAATGATGTTGTATTTTGCAAATATTTTACATGAGGATTTATTATATTTTCACAGAACCGAACAGACCTTCATCTATTGCTTATAAGCAATTCGGCATAAGATATGAAAATAAGGACTTCCGTTGCTCAAACATTTGGAACGAAAATTTTGGAATTTAAAGTTTCAGAGATCGATAACATGTGAGATATCCATGAAAACTGGAGTAACCAAAAAATCCGCCTGCTCCTGCGTTCATTTTGCAATCTGATGAAACCACATGAAAAGTTCGGCTCATGCGTTCATTTTGAAAATTCCCTTAAACGATATTATACTTCAAAAATACGGAATAGAAATAGAACAGGCTTTTGGTGGATGAGGATATGGTAATAAAGAACCTTTAGAGCGATACAAATGTTTAGAAGTTTGCTTGGATGTCAAGTTATTGGCTATCAAAGAGCGATTTTACCAATTTTGTGACTTTTCTTGTGCAGTTGTCGATAATGATCTAATAAGTTAACAAAGATTTGGCGAGTTTGAGATGCCTGTCGGATAAAGTAATCATACGAGATCAGAAAAGGCTATAAAGTTTTGTGAAATATGCATTTTCAAAGAAATTGAAGACAATTTTCTTACCACAGTAGATCTATCGGTTTTCCACCTGTAAAATTGATCTCTTCATGCGTTTTCCGCCTGGGAAACATAGTGAACGATTGGACTCGGTGGGAAGACCCTAGAGTCTTGAATGTCTTTTCTAAATACCTACTCGAAATTTATAATAAAAGAAATCTTATGTTAGGTAGTACTATTAGTAATAAAAATTTGTCAGACCATTGAATGTATATTATTGTACTTGAATATCGAATGAGTAATTAGTGTTTTTTGTTTGTTTTTTTTTAATACTGTTTTATTTATTTACTTCTTATTTTAACATTACTATGCCTGTGTTATTTGTTTTTCCAATAATACGAATTAAGCTTTAGTTACTTTATTGTCTTCATTTCTAACATACAATACACAATTTGTTGGTTGGTATATTTTGTTTCATGCCTTATGTTTTATGCTTGTGATTATATATGTCATATAGTATGACCCTTGATTGGTGAAATAAAATTATTCTATTCTATTCTATTCTATTCTATCCAAAGAGCGGGATTTGTGAAATGTTTTCATTGGTCGATGCAAATATAAATCCCCTCTTCCGGAACTGCAGTACAACAACAACAACAACCACAAACACAAGAAGCACGAAATTTTGGAAATATAGATTGTATGTTAGATTTATTTGACAAGACTATATTTGTCAGATCTCAATAAGTGAATAAGTGAGTACCAATGATCAGATTTACGTTTTGTTTCTAACACGGCTATAAACTGTTAAATTAGTGTTTTAAATAGGTCCTAAATTGGCCCTAAATTGCCAAGAAATAGGGTGGGGTGACAGCTGATTTTTTTTAATTTCAGGAGCATAGATCTATTAAAATTTTGTTTATAAAACTTATTCTGTTACGAACTATATGTGAATTCCACATCTTAATTGTCAATGATTGACTGACTTATATAAATACTGTACAGTACGGTACAGTTTAAAGAAAATGAAACTCTAAAAGAAAATGAAACTCTAAAAGAAAATGAAACTGCCACCTCTGTGCCATACTGTATAGCCTTAGGATATATGTGTTTGCTAGGAATTCAGTCATCTGTAAACATGTGTATTTCTCAAAATAAGGAAATGAATTTCCACCAAGCTGAAAAAATAAGGGGAAGGGCTATGTTCAAGTGTTTAAAAAAAAAAAGTTTAAAAAAACTGTGATCTTCGAAAAAATCCATCCAATTCAGTAATCGCATGAATATTGCACTACAAAATGGGTTCAGTAATTAACTTGGAAGGACAAGAAAACATCTCTATGCATGTCTCATATCCATGTCTTGGAATCCGACCCTATAAACTTAATCTCTGACTTGATATCTCTTCTTAACTAAGATAATTCAAACAGTACACTGCCAACCTTTTTTAATTTCTGTTTGTTAGTGATGGACTACCTCTGAATACTTTTATAGTAATTTATTCCTAAAAAGGTTTATGAACTAAACAATCAATCCTAAAAGATTTTTGATGGTGGGCCGAGTCCACCAGTTCCAAGTTTGATTAGGGCCGAGTTGACCCTCTACTGTTTTCTTGCATTATCGTAGGGCTACTTAGGATTAAAATTACTTGCTTAGAAAACTTTGAAGCATTTCCATATGGTAATTCATTGCCATAAACTCAAAAAATACATATGCAGTAATGTACATCAAAACTATCAACTGTACAAAAAAATACTGACCAACAATTTCTGGACTAGGTACTTTTTGTGTCGCCTTGAAAAGGTGACATATAGGGGTTACTTTTGTCGGCGGTGTCGGCGGCGTCTGTGTCGTTGTTGGCGTCGTCGTCCGCTAAAGCTTGTCCGGAGCATAACTCAGTCACTATAAGTCTGATTGACTTCAAACTTGGTATGCATGCTTCTTTCAATAACCCGAAGTGCAGTGCACAAGGACCGGTACTCTGCAGTTCTTATTTTTTGAGTTATTGCCCTTTGTTAATTTTCATACTTTAATTTTGTCCGGGCCATTTCTCTTCAACTAAAAAAGCTATGGACTTGAAACTTCATAGGATGATAGATCTCATTAAGAAGAAATGCAGTGCACAAGAACCAGTACTCTGCACTTCCTAATTTTTGAGTTATTGCCCTTTGTTAATTTTCATACTTTATTTTTGTCCGGGCCATTTCTCCTAATGTATAAAAGCCATGGTCTTGAAACTTCATAGGATGATATGTCTCATTAAGAAAAAGTGCAGTGCACAAGAACTGGTACTCTGCATTTCTTATTTTTTGAGTTATTGTCCTTTGCTAAATATCATACTCATTTTTGTCCAGGTCATTTTTCCTCAAGTATGAAAGCTATGGACTTGAAACATCATAGAATGATGGATCTTATTGATAAGAAGTGCAGTGTACAGAAACTGCTGCTCTGCACTTATTATTTTTTTAGTTATTGCCCTTTGTTTTTTTTCATATTTCATTTTTGTCTTGGCCATTTCCCCTAAACTACATTGTTCACAAGGCGACACATCCGACTCGCGGAGTTCTAGTTTCTTATATTATCTTGGAATAAGATTGCTTGCTTAAGGCTGGTTGTTATGTAATGATTTATTTCTAGTAATCTACTTCACAAGTTTTTTAGTGTATTCAATAAAACTGAAAATTGATTAAGTAAAACTTTACTTACTATGATTAAAATGAAACAATGATTTAAAATAAAGACAACTGGTCATATGTTTACATTAGCAGTGGAAAACTGGAAACATTTAAGTGTTACATGAAAGTATGTATAAAACATACTCGGCCCTATATTTACCATTGATGGCAGCATAAATGGAATGCGTCCATCATTGACTTTTACAGTGAGCATTTTAGACATGCCCAAAATACTAGCTTTGCTTCCGTTTTCTTTTGTGATATGTAAACATAATAATTATGTTCATGCCAGCAGTCTGAACTTCCTTGTTTATAAACTCATCAGAAAAGACAAGCAGTCTTCATGTTTCTGCTTGTACTGCTTCATATTTTACTTGTAAATACAAGCCAACAAGTGTACTTATTGATCTGAAATTGTGAATTTCTGTATTCTGCAATCAAGTATTTAAAGTTACATACAATAGTATACATGTATTTGTATTAAAATTTGACTTTAACATGTTTTGTTGTCATGCTGTTCCCTCAACACCCCCTATATTGAGGCATGTGGCCCACTAGACCCTTTTTGAGACAAAGCTAGATTGAACACAGTCACTGGAATTTATTCAGTGATTTTTTTACTTTTTTCGCATCAACCTAATTACCCCTGAAATTGAGAATTTTTAGCGCGATAATCTGTCAAATTGTGAAAAAATAAACAAGAATATATCATCACCTGTAGTCACTTTATTCATTCATTTTAATAATTATATTCATGACGTAGTTTCAGCTGTCTTCTTTTTATTCCCTCAAATATATCAATCACATTCTCAAGATTGTCATTTGTCAGTTTATTATTTTGTTTGGTACTGAAAAGCAATGCTGCCAATTGTGAATCTTTTACACATTCAATTTTTTTTCTACCCAGTAGATTTGACAAAATAAGACATGCTACAAAACCATTTAGATGTGACATGGACCTTTAATTGACTTTTACCGTCAAGATCAAATTAATGAATTCTTTTGTTTTTCCCATTACTTTGTTATTTGCAATGAATTAACTTCATATTTGGACACAACAACTTTAAGCTGAGGACCTTCGATCATGTACGTATAACAAACTCAAATTGACCTTGACTCGTGTATGACCTTGACGGCCAAATTATTGAATTTTCACTGATTATTGCTATAATTGCCTGTAATTTGGTATTATAACTGGATTATCTTCATACTTGAACAAAACAACATTTAAAAGGTTGAACTGACCTTGACCTTAAGCTTTAAATGACATTGACCCTCAAGGTCAATTTATTGAATTTGGTTAAGTTGTCTTAATTTTTTTATGTACAGATTTGATTTATACTGGAACAAAACCAAGACTTTGCCATTATATTGTTCACATTTTGCCTTGACCTTTAATTGACCTTGAATATCAAGGTCAAATTAATGAAATTCTCTTATTTTATCCTATAGCAATGAGATTTGGACTATGTGCACAGTTTTAGATGTAAAATAGAACTTTGATATCTGCTGATCTACATTTGATGAAGTGACCTACTTCTAAACTCAGCTGACCGAAGAACAGTGAAATAAATAGTTCCCAAAAATTGACTTCTCTGTATTTTGATTTTTAACAATATTTAATGTTAAAAAGTTTAGTATCAACCAATGGAATTAAATTGAAACTATTTGACAGAAAATGTTAACCATAGAGACAATGTGCCGCACAAAGGTTTCATGCATCATGGTCATCTCATGTTACTCTTTTGTGGATCATTATATGTGTAAATTTCAATGTTTTCTGTCAGCTCTGTATCTTTTGAACTGATGGAAGAAAATTAAGACTATTTTTTAAAAATATTAACTCAGGAGTGCAGAACTCATGTTTCATCCTTCTCAGTTTAAGGTAAAGTTTGAACATAGTCATTTAAAATCTTAATTTTTAAAAAAAAAAATTCAAGGGGAGAATAGTACTTTCTTAGTATACATTAAAGGAAGAGTACTCTGTACATACTGTTATGTATTTTACAGTCATGAAGCAAGTGATTGAAAGCCCAATATTGATTTTTTCTGCTTTTGAGGTACATGTATATTTTATGATTTTTTTAGCTCACCTGAGCTAACTCAGGGTGAGCTTTAAGGTCGTTGAATGTCCGTCGTCTGTCCACACTTGTTCGTTAACACTAGCGGTCACATTTTTGCCTCAATCATCATCAAACTTTGTCAGGATGCTTGTTTAGGTAATAGCTTGGATGAGTTCGACATTGGTCATCTGGGATGAAAAACTAGGTCATAGGAACTAAAAATAGAAAAACCTTGTTACCACTCTAGTGTTCACATTTTTGACTCAATCATCATCAAACTTGGTCAGGATGCTTGTCTAGGTGATTGCTCGGATGAGTTCGAATATGGGTCATCTCCGATGAAAAACTAGGTCACAGGAGCTAAAAATAGAAAAACCTTGTTAACACTCTAGTGGTCACATTTTTGACTCAATTATCATCAAACTTTGTCGGGATGCTTGTCTAGGTGATTGCTGAATGGGTTTGAACATGGGTCATCTCGGATGAAATACTAGGTCACAGGAGCAAGAAATAAAAAAATCCTTGTTAACACTCTAGCGGTCACATTTTTGTTTCAATTGTCATCAAACTTAGTCAGGATGCTTGTCTAGGTAATTGCTCGGATGGGTTCAAAGATGGGTCATCTCGGATGAAAAACAAGGTCACTGTGTCAGGATAAAAAATAAAAAAATCTTGTTAACGCTCTAGTGGCTACTGTTTTGATCCCAAATATCCCTGGAAATTGGTCTGAAAAGCTTGTTTTTGAATGATTTCTAGGTCAAGTTCAAATATGGGTCACCTGGGGTCAAAAACTAGGTCAGACTGCTTAAATATGGATAATCCTTGTTAACACTCTAGTGGTCACATTTTTGACTCACCTGTCATGAAACTTGCCCGTCCCTAGATTTGCCACTAAAATGCCACCATTTTCAATGGTGGAGTATTTAGACAACTTTCCACCAATAATGCCACCAAAACGCCACCAAAACGCCACCCAAATCATGAAAATGGTGAAAAATTTGAGCAGGACTGATGTTATAT